TTACCGTAGCCACAGCATGCTTTATGTGTACTTTCAATTGTTGAAGGTCATTGATCTTAACCTGGTAGAGAATGTTCTTCACATAACCCCACAAGAAAAATCCAGTGGGATTAAATCTGGCATCCTTGGAGGCCAAGCAGTTGGTCCACTTCTGCCCAGCCATCTCTGTCCAGGTGATTCCTAGCATGGTGGCAGAAATGTTGCAGCTCTCCGTCTTGTTGGAGGATAGTTTGAGGTGGTAATTGGGGCAGTGCATACAGCTCCAGCATGTCCAAGTACAAATGTCGGGTCACATTTTTTCTGAAAGGAAGAGCTGTCCAACTTGTCGTGCATTAAGCCAGACCACATGTTCACTTTGGGGCTGCCTCTCTCCAACTCATATGTGACATGTGAATTTTGACTGCCTCAAATCCTGCAGTTGTACCTGTTTACAACTCCATTGACATGGAACGTTGCCTCGTCCAAGAAGCACACTTGGCGGAGGAAATCAGGTGACACATTATTCCTTTCTAGCATGTCCACAGCGAAATTTACACATGCCACATCGTCACTTGGTTTTAGTGCATAAATCATTTAAATCTTGCATGCTCTTAAATGGAACTTCTATGTAGCACATCATGCACTGTTGAACATGAAATTTGTAACTGCAAGCTAGCAGAACAAATTGATTTGTGCAGACTTCGCTGGAATGCCTCTCTAATGCAATTACATTTTCTCCAGAAGTCCATGTCTTTCCAGGAGGTTTTACACACGACAGACTACCTGTAGTTTTCAGTTTGTTGTCCCAGACAAAATGCATTTCTGTGTAGGAGATTAACATCCATATTGCATTCTAGAATGATACTGGACAGCCATAAGAGCTCTCAGCTCTGCTAGCTACAACACACATTGAACCTGTTCCTGTGGTGATATAATTACTGAGCTTGCCGAAGGTCACCAGCTGCCACATGCACATAACCCAGGCATGAAAACTTTCAGAGTTTTCCTTTCCAATGATATAAACCAGATACATGTATGACAGTTTCTGAAATATGAACTTTTTATGTTAGATTCCTTTCATTTGTACATTCTGTATATTATTCAGCCAGAAATGTGGCTTAAATTGAGATACATGCACTTTTCTTATAATCACTCCTGTATGAGGATTGGCTAACAAAGTTCTAACAGGAGATAACAAACTTATCTGTTATGAGTGGTGCAGACCATTTATAGTCTAACTTTTTGGGATGGTGGAACAGCTAGGAACTCATCAAGTGTAACCTGATCAAAACCAAATCGCCCATTTGAAACACCACTTGCCTTCCCACAGTGTTGCATCTATCTGCCACTCTGGCAGAAACCTATCTCAAACTACTTGTGGTGGTCTCCCAACACTCATTAATCTGATTCAAATCTTCCAGAAGCTGTAGCTCATGCAGTTGCCATTAAAGCCCCAGGAAATGCTTCAATTCCCTACCCAGGAATAGCATAGCAAGAGTCGCTGCAGACGACTCATGCCAAGCTTAGCTGAAGGCTGTAGTCAAAGATGGAAGACATTCACAGCACTAGAGCGGCCTTCCAATTCCCACAAAACGTTTTCTGCCTGTGGACCCTTGCCTTTAGTCCAGGGCTAGCAGTTCATCCTGAATGGTCCATACTTGCATATTTGTGTCACATTGACCACTCCTCTCTGTTCCTGCATATTTTCATAACATGCCCAATAATATCCTGACATTATACTACGTTATTGGACATGTTGACTGGTAAGCTTTCTCTCAGTCACTGCCTTTTGAGGAGTCAGAATTTCCATCTGCTGATATCGTGGTCAAGTACTTTGTAAGTACTCAGCTACAATCTGCCTTGTGTCATATTCCTCTGTCATCCACGAGACGGCATCACATTCCTGTCTAGTGGTAGATAGATCAATGCTGCGATACCTTTCACTCTTAGAGAGAAGCTATGAGGTGCCTCAGTTTCCACCCAGCTCTGGAGAATTTCCTTTAAGCACCTTGATGCAAAGGCTCAGCATGTTGTGTGAAAACCACGCACTCGTCATGGAAGGCCTTTGTCTCCAGCCTTCCCCAGTCTGCCCATTGATGTATCATGTGGAACAAACTACAGTGCAGGCATAGTAGTTACTGGTAATACATCACAGGTAGACATCGCCAATTAACTCACACCTCATATTGCTTGTGTTTTCAGTTCTGATGGGTATGATCCAACATTTAAAATTAAGATTTTTTTAAGATATCTGTTGCTCTTTTAATTGAGTCGTCAAGTGTTAGACCCCATTATAATCTGGACAGGTCTATTTTTAACCTTTAACGACCGAAAGTCCGGTATACCGGACGGTACCTGTGACCTCGAAGATGCCGAAAGTCCAGTATACTGGACGCAAGACACGTGCTCACTTTAGAAGTGCTGCCGGTTAGACGTTGAGTTTGAAACCAAAACAAACACACGCAAGTTCAAGTCAGAGGTCCAATTGTTGGCTCTGAACAATAAAACCCTTCATCATGGCACTGGGTTCGATTTCGTTTACATGTAGGTAAGACTGTTTGTGACTTGGTCAGCCAAACAGAGTGGAAGCTTCTTCACAGAACAGCTGACCCAACATTCCTCTGTGCGGGCAGATCACTGCTTCTGTAGCTCTCAAGGAAGTGTGACGTGTTTAGTGAGTGTCTGAATTATCAGCTTGTGAGTCAGTGGCGGACTGTTTCTCTGGGGAAGCCAAGATTTTTCATTGAGTCATCTGGAACTGAACATTGACAACACTGTCCGGCCAGCCAGATAGAAACAATAACTTCCTGTTTGTTCGCTAAGCGAGAGACTGAACCAGATTGTCTACCAGCGTATGAGAAGTGAGGTCTGTGTGACCTTCACATCGCGCTGAAGCAAACTCTGCCTCTCCGCGCTCCCGCACGCAGTATCTATAGTAGCGTAAACTTACACGACGCAACGAGTTGAAACTCGTGTACAGTCTGACCAAACATTTTGGTGTATAGTGTCAATGTATTTTGGATATAACGACGTCTCAAATTTGAAGAAAAAATTATGGGTAAGTCTTTTGGAATTTCATTACACATATAAAAGAGAGTATATTTTGAATTTCATTACATAACAATCACAGTTAATATTTATTTGTAAAAATTGCCTTAGGTATATTGTAGGAAATTTCATTCTCTTTCAGGCGGTTTTTAGTTCGTAATTCTAAGCTGCATAGAACGGAAAATATGTAGTTTTTTCTGAAAGTCTACAATATTAAAAGGGCAACGCCAAATTAACTCCGGCAGCAGCGCAGTCGTGGGGGGTTTAAATGCCGACTCTTAAAGGTTAATATATTTATTTTGGTTTTAACAGAAGATTATCAAGTTTGTCTTTGTACAGACATATATAGCTGTGGATGTTGATACTCTTTGAAACGCAGTGTGATGTGCACATGCACACACAACATACTCTCTGAAACTTTGTCACAGAGATAATCATTTGTTGTGTTTCTTACACGATTTCCTTTAGATATTAGTGCTGTATACAGAGAGAGGAAGATATTGTGTGGGCAGAAAGACAGAAAGAGAGACAGATTCTGTTTGGCAGATTGATTTGTTCAGGCATTTAATTATACTGGGTTATTCAAAAAGAATGAACCGATTCTATTATGCAATATTTTATTAAAGGAAAGTAATACAGAAGTCCAGCCAAGTCACAAGTATTCTACTCACAATAAACTTTTATATTTCCTGTCTTACAAGTGTTCAATGTGGCCACCACCTACAGCACGGGCAACATCAAAGCGATAAGAAAATTTCTCCCAGGCACGTGTCAGCATATCACGATGCACTGAGTTAATCGCTGTTGTTATTCAGTGTGTAAGGTCATCGAGGTTAGTGGGTGGCAGTGAAACATAAACGTGATCTTTTACATATCTCCACAAGAAGAAACCACACACGGTGAGGTCTGGGGATCTCGCAGGTCAAGCACAAAGAGCAAGGTCTTTGGCCCCCTTCCCACCAATCCATCACTGGGGCACTTTTTCATTTAAAAAAGCTCGAACCATCAGGTGCCAATGGGGCGGTTCTCCATCTTGTTGAAAAATGAAGTCATGCGAATCTGCTTGCAGTGAAGTGAAGAGTCAGTTTTGGAGCATATCGAGATAGGTTTGTCCTGTAACAGTGTTTCCTTCAAAGAAAGAGGGACCATAAACCTTGTCCTAAGACACAACACAGAAGACGTTCACCTTAGGGGAATCTCTTTTGTGCTCAACTGTTTCGTGTGGGTGCTCTGTTCCCCAAATACGCACATTGTGGCGATTGACTGTGCTGCTCAAGTGAAAAGTCGCTTCATCACTAAACATTAAACGCGAAATGAAGGTTTCATCTTCCACCATCTCCAGCATCGAATCGCAAAATTCCATCCGCTTCCTTTTGTCTTCATTGGTAAGTGCCTGAACAAGCTGCAGTCTGTATCGTTTCAAATGTAGACGTACTGTTAGCACACGCCAGACAGTGGATTGAGGGATCACAAGCTCATGGCTAGCTCGATTTGTTGACTTCCGCGGGCTCCTCTCAAACGCAGCATGGATTCTCGCCACTTGTTCCTCCCAAGACTCATGGTCGTCCTGGACTTCTTCCTTTACACAGACACCCACTCTCTTGAAACTGTCGAAACCACCATTGAATGTTCTTAGGACAGGGGAGATTAATGCCGAATCACCTTCGAAAAGCACGCTGCACCGTGACAACCGAATTTGTTTTCGCGAACTCGAGAACGCAGAACGCCTTTTGCTGAGAACTCGCCTTTCCGAGGGTAAACGAACAACTGAACGTTGCCGGAAGAACAACGCAACTTCAGTGCCCCTGTGGCAGCCATTCACAACTTAGATAACTCCTCTTTCAAATGGTCACTGACTCATTCCATAGAACTGAAGCAATGCGTCATGAAATCAGTTCATTCTTTTTGAATAACCCTGTATTTTTTCAGGTTGCCATGGTCCTTCAATGAAATGCTTTTTTTCTTTTTTGCAGGTCATTGGTTACATAGAAGTTACCAACTTAGAAGATCAGGAAGGAGATGTGTTTGTGAATGGCAGCATTGCAGAAAAAACTGACAGTTTAAAAAATTCTGCAGGTGTCCAACTGCTGGACAAGACTCTGCACAAGCATGGTGTGATGGATGTTGACGACACCATGCTTGCCAACATTGTCCATGTCAAGCCACTTACTACAGATATTAATAGTTTCTCAGGTGTGAGATCTCAGTTTAGTTCTGAGCATCAGTTTTCAGAGCTAAAAAGTACAGAAAGCACTCCATTTGTGAGGAAAGGCAGCAATGTTGATGAGCTGGACATCAGTACCATTGGTAACTGTGATCTGTCTGTGTCTTGCCATGAGAGTGAAAGGACAGATGGGGAAGATCAGAATTATGAAGTGACAAACGGCTGTATTCAGGATGGGGCTGAGCGTGATTTCAAGGCTCCTAGTAGATCATCTAATATCTCACTTGAAAGTGATGTTGAGTCCAGAAATAGTACAATAACAAGAAACTTGCCATACAGTGTTGTTACTGAAGGTACTACATTAAGTGACGTGTCACATGCAGACATCAGTGTGCCTCATAGTACTGACATGGGAAGATGTTTCAACAGGGAGTTTTCAGAGGTCCCAGAGGACGTGTGCAAAGCTGCTGCAAGCATGAAAGAAGATGTGGACAGACGTGAGAAGACAGATGGTATGGGACACAATGATGACAATGATAAAGACATTGTTGTTGAAACCAAGAATAGGAAGAAGACTTTAACCCGTGTGAAGTTCAAATCATATGATGAGGCACGCAAGAAGTGTGGGCTGATTCTGTGCAACTTCCCAACTGTAAGTAATTTAGTGTTTATAGGTAAGGTGAAGTTGTCCCTGTGCCTAATGAATTAAGCACTACGCCATGAAGCCGTATGGGGGAGTGGATGTATAGATCCACAGTTACCTCCAGGGAAAGAGCCCCCCGTACCCATTGGATAGGAGTTTGGGTGAACCCCAGAGCTGATCTCGGTCTTCCAGCCCACAGCTGGTTGCTGTACTGACTACCGATTGTTGTTGTTCTCCTTCTTCTTCTTGCTGTTTAGAACTCTACTCTGAATGTGTATGGGTTGAGATTCTGTTGATGGCATAAACATGTTTATTGGTAACTATTACTTTCCCCTAACACCAAACCAGAAGTTATTACTAATTTCACAATCATGAAAACACTCTGGACACTAACAATACCCGCATAATTTTATTGGGAGACTTAAATGCCACTATTATTCTAAATTCAAGAAGGATGTTATATACCCCTCCACATGTCTTCTTGGCCTAAGGCAGTGCATTGAAGCTGTTGCCAGTCATAACATGCTTGACCTAGTTCTTGCAAATTTCACTGCTCTAAAGTCTGTTTCTGCTGACTCCGGATTGGTCCAGTCTCTGATGCATATCACCCTCATTTGAGTATTGATGTCTTTTTACCTCATGTTAATAATAATTTAAATTGTGACTTTAGATATCAAATTTTCACAGCAGACAACTAAACTTTGCTTTACAACATCCTATCTGCTTATGATTGGCCAAGCATGTATGAAACGTCTTCTGTTGATGTAGCAGTCACCAGCCTGAATGCTGCTGTTAGAGGTGCCATGGAGCAGGCAATACCTTGTGGCTATAGCTGCAAGTCCAAATTCTCTCACTGGTTCTCCTATACCTTAAGGTATTTCATCGCTAAGAAAAATTATTTCCACTGTCGCTTTAAAAAGAAACCTTCCAATTACTTTTACGACAGGTTCGCCTGTTACAGAAAACTTGTTAAAAATACCATCAAGTCTGACAGGCTTAGGTGGTTGAAGTCAATTGACAACAATTTAAAGTCAAAGCCCCAGCATTTCTAGAAATATGTATCTAATTTGAGAGAACATAGAACCAGTTCCATTCAGCTAGAGGTTAATGGTACACACTTAGCCCAGCCCAATGCAGTTGCTGATGCTTTCACTAAGCACTTTCAATTTGTAGAGAACTATTAGGCTTATTTTGGACTCTATCCATCGTCTGGTATATATAAGACAAAAAACCACAGCGTTTCAGAGACCGGATCTGTCTCCCTCCTCAGATGCATGTGGCAGGATAGACCTACTCAGTTGGGCCCGTTAGAAAGAGATAGTCTCAATCACTGGAAGATTTCATTCTCTCTCAAACCATACATATGTAGAAGGTCAGTATAGACCAGTTTAGTGAAATCTTGTCAAGACTTCTAATCTTAAACCAACAGAATAACATAAGTGGACACTTGATAGGTCTGTGTAGATAATACGTGGTGACATCTTTTATACATAATATAATTCCGTCAATAATGCAATTATTTCTATCACTCCTTCCCTTCACAACATGTTTCGGCCTCAAACAGCCATCATCAGGTGTCCCACCTGCATATAGTGTTGTCTCCCCTGTATGTGTGGAAGACAACACCATACACAGGTGGAGAGAACGACATACAAGCAAGGGGCAAAACATAACCATAACACCAGGCTTATGTACAGAAAACAACACACAAACACCCAGGCCGCTACAGTATAAAAATCCAAAGAGAGAGATATCGAACTATATCGGTTGGACGATTGGATGACTCCTCTTGTAGAGGTCTAGAAAGGAATTTTACAAAATTTTAGTGGAAAATTTTTAATGAACTCAATTTAAAGTAAATTGCAGCATATGATATTTTAACTAATGTTAACTTAGTATCAGTTATAACATCGAACGTTTTAAATCATGAAATGTCGCAGTTATACTTGTATGTGATGTGAAAAAGTGGACATTCTGTAGAGTGGAACACTTTTGGCGTAGCTGTGGCACCTGATGATGGCTGTTTGAGGCTGAAACATGTTGTGAAGGGAAAGAGTGATAGAAATAGTTGCATTATTGACGGAATTATATTGTGTACATGTATAAAAGATATGTAATGTGACAGGTTACTTAAATATTATATTACATGGTGATATGCCTATAGAACTGCTTGAATTCACATCTTCATGAAGGGTATATGGCTTATGTGAGACATATGCCTCCTGTCGATGTCATGAGTATTCAGCAGCAGAATAATACAATCTGCTGAAGTCTTGGGCAATCAGCTGTGTCAGTGTTACATTAGAAACCAACGTTTCAGAGATCCCTTTCATCTCCATTATGAGGGTCATTGCTGTAAATCAGCGATGGCCAACTGGCGGCCCGCGGGCCGTATCCGGCCCGCGACTTGATTTACTCCGGCCCCCCGCCAAGTATCAGGTTATTTTAAAAAATCTTAACTTCACAGCTGTATTGGCACAGAATTCAGTTTTTAATAGGACGTTTCATTAGCTTACAGCATTTTGCAATTGACTGTATACGTTCTTACCGAGTTGGACAGTTCAAACTGTTTTCTAATAACTGTGTTCATGTCATGGAAATTCCAAGTGCTCCAACCCTACTTCTGTTGGGAGATGACACTGAAGGGAAGACCGTAGTGGTGAAGGATTTATGACACATTCAAAATAATAACCATTCTCAGCTTGCTCGCAGGGATGGGATGTTTACCGTTCCTCTCGGCATCCTGGCGTTTGTTAAGTGCCAGTTTTAGCAGAAATGTCTCCCAGTTAGTGCGATTTTAGAAAGTGAAGTGTGATTACGGAGTGTGAGTGTAGAACTGTTTTT